TTTTTCCCATTCTTCTTTGCTGTATAGCTTTGCAGTTCTGGAAAACTTTCAATAATGAACTTAAGATCCAGCTTCATCCCGTGGTAATAAAATACACTAGCTGTTTTTTGTGTTTGAACAGTGTGTGTTGATTGCTGCGGGTTGTTAATATCTTGGCTTTCAATTTCTTCCTCTTGAGGTGAATCTGGATGGCTGGAGGCTCCTATTTCTTTCTCTTCTGTACCTTTGTTGTCCGTTTTTAATTTTGATCCATAAAAATTTGTTAATTTTCTGCATTTTGAAGCAATTTCTTGATCTTCTTTCTGCTTTCTTTTTAACGAGCGTTCAGATCTTGGCATGTTTGGAGATCAATGACGCAAGCAACTTTTCCCACGGATTTCATTGCCTCGCCTTGGTGTAGTGCGTCAAACAGAGATTGGTTGACAGCAATAAGACCAAAGAAATAACGAATAATTTGACACATATAACACGACAACGACACAACGAACAGTAATTGGAGATAAGTCAAATTGGTGTTTAAAACAATTTTCAACAAAAGGGCACTTGCTAGTGGGGAATCATGGGCCAGCTAGTGGGGAAATTTTTGGGCCTGGTGGGGATTTTCCCCACTAGTTTGTATGTGAAAAGATCCCCTGGTTGCCGCAGTATTGATGAGCGTCGCAAGACAGGTGTTGTCTTTGCTATCAAAGACAAACTCATGAAGAAACTTGACAGCACCCCAGAAGGCCTGAGTGATCGTCTTATGAGACTTAAGCTCCCTCTTGGCAAGAAGAGATATGCTACTCTCATCAGTGCCTATGCTCCCACTATGACCAATCCTGGTGAAATAAACAAAAAGTTCTATGAAGAACTGGAAGCCCTGATCTCCACAGTCCCACAGTCAGACAAGCTCATCCTCCTTGGGGACTTCAATGCCCGTGTTGGCAGAGACCACCTAGTGTGGGAAGGAGTCATCGGTCATCATGGTGTGGGGAAATGCAACAGTAATGGCCTACTCCTGCTCAGGACCTGCGCTACCTATGGACTCGCCATCACCAACACCATGTTTCGTCTTCCAACCCGCAACAAAACTTCATGAAGCACCCCCGCTCAAAGCATTAGCATCTCATCGATTATGTCATTGTATGGGCCAAAGACCGTCAAGATGTGCGAGTGACCAAAGCCATGTGTGGTGGTGACTGCTGGACAGACCATCGCCTCATCATCTCAAAGACTAAACTTTTCATACAGCCCTCAAGAAGACCTCAAGGACAGAAAGTAGCGGAGCGACTGAACGTCAAAAAGCTGAAACTTCCATCTGCACAGAAAGAACTATCAGCCACTATGTCGCAACAGCTGTCAGTTATCGATGGCAACGACTGGGACTCTCTTAAGACAACCATCCACTCTGTTGCTCTCCAGGTACTCTCCCCCAAAACCAGAAACCACCAAGACTGGTTTGATGAGAATGATGCCAGTATTCAGAAATTGCTAGAGGAAAAGCGTCAGCTCTACAAAGCCCATCAGGATGACCCAAACTCTGCCTCAAAGAAATATGCATACGATGACAAGCGCAGAGAAAGCTTCGTACCATGCAAGATTCATGGCTCAACAATAAAGCTGAAAAAATCCAAAACTATGACGATACACACAATATAAAGCGTTTCTATGACTCGCTGAAATGCATATATGGGCCATCAACATCAGGCAACTCACTCATGCTCAGCGCTGACGCTTCAACGCTTATCGAACGCCTCCCCCAAATAGTTGTCAATGAAGCTCTTGCCATTCCCCCCTTGGAAAATGACGTTGCCAAAGCAACGAAGCAAATGTCATCAGGCAAAGCCCCATGCCCTGATGCAATTCCAGCAGAGATGTTCACGTCGGGTGGTCCTCTCATTGCAAAGCTGACAGAGCTGTTTCAATCAGTATGGGTAAGTGAAACCCTTCCTCAAGAGTTCAAAAATGCTACAATCGTTCACATCTACAACAGAAAAGGCAATAAGAGGTCCTGCGACAATTACAGGGACATTTTCCTTCTTGCAATCGCTGGCAACATCCTGGCCCGTGTCCTCCTAAACCGTCTCCTGAGACACCTTGAGCAGGGTCACCTTCCCAATAGTCAATGCGGATTCCGCAAAGATTGAGGAACCATTGACATGGGTTTTGCTGCCCGGCAGCTACAGGAAAAGAGTGTGGAGCAATACCAGGATCTCTACATGACCTTTGTGGATCTAACAAAAGCTTTTGACGTGGTTTGCAGAGAGGGCTTGTGGAAGATCATGTCAAAGTTTGGTTGCCCGGACAAGTTTGTGAGGATTGTGAAGCAGTTTCAGGATGATGATGGTGGTGTCTCTGTCCCGATTCCAGTGACAAATGGCGTGAAGCAGGGCTGCGTCCTTGCCCCATCACTCTTTAGCATGATGGATGCTTTCAGGGAAACCACCCCTGGCATTCAAATGCAGTACAGGTGTGATGGGAAGCTCTTCAATTTACGACGCCTCCAAGCTGTCACTAAAGTCAGCAAAACTATGAGTAGAGATCTCCTCTTTGCCGATAACTGCGCACTCAACGCCTCCAAAGAACAAGATATGCAACAGGTCAGGGACAATTTCTCATCTGCCTGTGACAACTTTGGCCTCACCATAAGCATGAAGAAGATGGAAGTGCTGTACCAGCCTACGCCAGGAAATTTGTATCAAGAACCAAACATCACAGTGAAGGGTCAGAGGCTTCAAGCCATGGAGCACTTCACCTATCTCGGTAGCACACTATGTCGCTCTGCAAACATTGATGCTGATATCAACAACCGCATTGCTAAGGCCAGTAGTGCATTTGGGAGGTTGAGGAAAACTGTATGGGAGTGAAGAGGTATCTTACAGGACACAAAAATTTAAAGTCTACAAGGCAGTTGTATTATCTACTCTACTGTATGGTTGTGAGACTTGGACTATCTACAGACAGCATGAAAAACAACTACAACATTTCCATCTCCGGAGCCTTCACAGCATCCTCAACATCTGCTGTTTTCATGACGCAATTTTTGAGTCATGGCTTTTTTTCACAAGATAATATTGTGATGAATAGGCTAGTCCCTTATGGCTATAAGATCAAGCATCAGTCCCGTGAAAACAGAAGAGAGGGTGGAGTGGCCATTTTATACAAAAGCACTGTAAGTGTTGACATAAAAATTCAAGATTTTACTCAGTCAATGGAGTATATTGATGTTTGTGTGTCATTTGAAAACACTCCTTGTGAGTTGATTGTAATTAATCGTCCTGGTACAAATCCAAATAATGGTCAGTTTGTCCCAGTCTCAGTTTTCTATGAGGATCTCACAAGCATATTGAGAGTCATGATGTTTCAACTTACGATGTAGTAATTGCCGGGGATTTCAATTTCAACTTAAATGATTTTAATAATGCTGAAGAATCACAATTCAAGGATATATTGTTTGCATACGATCTAAATCAGCATGTTCGTGACTCTACACATGAAAATGGACATATATTGGATTTTATTATCACAGGATCATCGTCCAATTTGGTAAGAAATGTAAAGGTAGAACACAAAATTTCCAATCATTTTGGGATAAAATGCCATCTATTCCTTGGAAAACCACCTAAGGAAATGAAAAAAGTAACTTTCAGAAAGCTTACACAGATTGATTTTGAGAAGTTTAATTCTGATCTTGGTGACAAATTTGAATCATTGCAGCAGTTCACTGACGTTGATGCCCTTGTTACGGCATACGATAGCACCTTATGTACGATCCTTGATAAACATGCACCTGAGCAGGAAAAAAATCATAACCATACGAAATAAGCGCCTGCGCTTCACTGGTGACCTGCGGGAAGAAAATAAGAAAAGGAGACGACTTGAAAGACGATGGAGGAGAACAGAGTCAGCTGTTGATAGAGACAAATTTGTTTAACAAAAGCTTAGGCTAAGAAACTTGCTAGAAGAGTGAGACAAAGCGTTTTATTCTAATTTAGTGATAGAAAATTCACAAAGTACAAAAGGATTGTTCAAGGTTCTGAACAATATGCTGAATAAAAAGACAGAGTCTCCCCTTCCTAAACATGACTCTACTCTGCAGCTTGCAAATGAATTTGTAGATTTCTTTGTGGGGAAAATTGAGAAGATTCAAAATCATTTTGACCTGGCCATGAATAGGGATGAAAATAGTAATGTTGTACCAGAAGGACCCAAATATAGGACCCAAATGACTACATTTTGTCATCAAACTGAAGATAATGTTGAGAAACTTATAAAAAAGTCACCAATAACAGTATGTGATCTAGACCCAGTGCAAACATCGATTTTGAGGCGTTTGTAAACCTTTTGTAAAAATCATGACTCTGATAATTAACACGACATTGCAGACTTCATTTATGCCAGAACATTTTAAGCTAGCTATTTTAGACCCACATTTGAAAAAGCCAGGTCAGGAACTTAAAAATGCCAACTTCAGACCAGTTTCCAATTTGCTTTATGCCTCAAAGCTTATTGAAAGGGCAGTTGCAAATCAAATTGTTCAGCATATGGTGGAAAATGATCTTTTTGAGCCATTGCAAACGGCATATAAAGAGGGACATAGTACAGAAACAGCATTACTGAGAGTTCAAAATGACTTACTGATGGCAATGGATAAACAAAAAGTCGCTATTCTTGTTTTGTTAGATCTTTCAGCAGCGTTTGATACAGTAAACCATTCGGTATTACTAAAGAGACTTTTCAACAGATGTGGAATTCAAGGGGCAGCTTTCATATCTAGAACATCGTTTTCAAATGGTTAAAGTTAAAGGTAAAAAATCAAAGGAGGTACCTCTATCTTGTGGTGTTCCACAAAGATCAGTGCTGGGCCCATTACTTTTTCTTGTATACACGCTGCCCTTAGGAGACATTGTTCAGAAAAGAGGCATGAAGTTCCACATCTACACTGATGATACGCAACTCTATATGTTTTCACCAACTCCAGAATGTGCAGCTCTCTCAATACAGCAAATCGAAGGGTGTATTCAAGAAATTCAGTCCTGGATGCTAACAAACAGGCTGTTAGTGCAAATAGCCCTTGGTCGTTGAGTTAAAGCTTTTTTTTATCTAGCCTCGTTTTACATTGCATTGTTTTTCTCTACGCCTCTTAGTATACGTTTCATTAGCCAAATTTGGTATTTCCGTTTTGCGTGTTCTTGCCTTTCCTCGTTTACTTCCGGTAGCTATAAAAGATTTGCACCCCAAGTTTTTGGGTTGGTTATTGACTCGCCTTGCATTGCGCTGTGTTGGGGGCAGTTTTCTATCGTTTCACATGCAGTTTTTGGCCTGGTAGTTTCCACATGCTGTGTTTGGCCGTCGTGCAAAATTGTTATGGCTTTGAGGACTAGTACATTGTAAGCTCGAACCACGTTTAACACATCACCTCAGAACCTGTGTTGTTTCTTGCTGTGTTATCTGCTGGGGATTTAGGTGTGGTGCATTCGATATACCAAAAGTAGTAAGAATTACAAATTGTGGACTACATTAGTTCGAATCTAGTTCATTTGGAAATTTCATGCTGTGATGAATGAACAGTAGTTTAAAGAAGAGAAGATGATTATTGACGAGGCATTGATTTCTGGTGTAGATGTAAGAAGTGAGAACCCCAATATAGATTATGGTGGCGTTGTTTCGAAGGAACTAATGAGGCTAAAGCAGGTCAGAGCCAATGCAAAGCGTTAACTGACGAAGGCAATTAACCGTGTTTCTCATTCCTTGACTGTTGGCGAAGAAACTGGACAGATGCAGGTGATTGAAAGAAGACTGGACGAAGCGTTCCATAACTTCAAAGAAGCATGGGTGAAAGACAAACATTTACTTGATGATGATGATGACCTTGAAGAGTCAACAGCATATTTTCATGAAGCAAAGACGAATAACCTGTGTTCAAAGGACAGGGTAGCTCTATGGTTAGAATCAAGGAAGAAGCAACTGCTTGAAAGGGTAAAACCTCCTGATATCGAGCCAAAAGACTCCATAAGCCAATCTTCTTCACGTCGGAGCAAGGCCGTAATTGCTGAGAAGCAGTTTAATAATGCAACAAAGATGGCGTCATTGTGTGCAGAAGCGTCGATGCTAGAGCAACGTCAGAGAATCGCAAATGAAGAATTGAGAATCAATCAACTGAAAGAAAGCTTTAGAGACCCAGTTAGCAGACCAAGACTTTTTCAGGAAGCTGTTGTGAAGAAGAATTTGGCGAAACTCAAGATGGCCTCATACGCGATCCAATAGGAGCTTCATTAAACATTAAACAGACGAAAGAATTGGCGTTGAAGACCTCCACTGCCTTAATATTCTCAGATCCCTGCCGGCAGAAAGCAAGCATTTCACCTGCAGAACAGTTAAACATCAAGCCTTCCCTCAATGGTATTGCCACAAAAGAAATTTCAGAAAACCATGCTACCTTTAGTGGATTGGATCCCGTGCTCCTCTTTGTTGGGCGGGCTATGGTGATACAATGAAAGAATCACCTGACGAACACAACGTTTCTCAGCAGTTGATTGACATCCAAGATCCCGTGGAAAACGCTGTGACAATGGAACATGCCCCTCCGAGGAGGTCAGACAATACTTATATGACGAGAAATCCATTGATGGGATATATTGCAACCCCGCAACAGGCATTTGATATAAACGCTCCTACATGGCAACCCTGTGGAAACCAGGAAACTCAGAGACAACCAAAAGAAGTTGCAAAGGTCCATTTGAAAAATGGTAGCCTACCTGGAACTGATGAAGGAATAAATTTTTTGGCAATGAAGGCCCTAGCAACTGCTGCATTGTTACCAAGGGCAGAACTGATGCACTTTGACGGTAACCCCTTGAATTATTTTTTGTTTATGACTTCTTTTGAAAACAACGTTGAAAAAAGTACTCAAGATTTCAGTAAGAGATTACAACTCCTGATACAGTTCTGCACTGGAAAGGCAAAGAAGGCAATTCAGAGCTGCGTTCTTCTGCACCCTCATGAAGGGTATTTTCAGGCGAAGAAAATTCTTTCAGAATGATTTGGTGATGCATACAAGGTTTCAAGAACATGGCTGACTAAAATCATGGATGGTGCACATATCAGGCCTGGTGATGGGGAAGCATTGCAGGATCTTGCTGACGACTTAGAAAGTTGTGAAATTACACTTCAAGTGGCAGGACGACTTTATCAGCTAAACAACAAAGACAATTTGCGCAAAATTTTGAAGCGATGCCCGGTGTATGTAAGATCTCATTGGCAGTCACGTGTTCAAGAGTTAAGAGCACAAGGAATGGACCCGAGTGTCAAAGACATCAGGAAGCTCATCAGATTGGCAGCAAGTGAAAAATGTGATCCAGTCTATGGCAATTTGATGGATGGTGAAAACAAAGAATTAAGAGATAGAGAAAGAGCAAACAACCAAACAGGAGCAATGAAGACCAATGTCAACTTCAGCATACAAACAGGTGCAGCAAAGGATAGCAGTGATGGCTTAAAGGTATTATGAATCGAAAATTTTCCCCTTGTTTCTAGACCAATTCGATATCGCTAATTCCGAAAATGCAACTAAAAATTGCATTGGGCAAATAATATTTTGGTTTTAACAATTTGAATTTAGCGCCTACGGTTCCAAAATTTGTACACGGGATCTGGAACGAGTGTATTTTTGTGACGTAAAGTGTTTGACACATTTTTGCCAGATGCGTGCGGCCTAAGTGGAATACAGTGTGTTTGTGACAATGTCGTCTAGTTCAAGCAGCGACGCGAGTATAACTGAATCAAATAATGCCACTTTAAATGAATCTAGCGACGAAGAAGGATTTGCAAAGGTTTATGGCGCTGTTTTCATGCCATATCAGTACGAGCCTTTGGCCTCAGACAATAGCGATGAATCTGAAGGAGCTGATGATGAGGGGACTGATCAGGCCCAGGACGAAGATAGCATTAGGCCGTCGCAACTTCGTGATCGTTTTGAAAGGAATGTTGCTTTAAATGAATGGTAAGTTAATATTTCTATCAAACTATCATTTCAGAGCCAATTTATATTATTTTCTTTCGACAACACACACAAGGACGAGAATAGCTTCGGATCGGAAAACGAGTGTCAAAAGCACTTGTTTTACTATCGCCCACTGACTGCGATCTCTCTAATTTGCAAAGTACAGACCCCTTTACGCATTTCACGTACTAGTTGTTAGTAAGTTAGTAGTGCTTCTTACAGCAGTATCTTGCAGTAGTAATGATATAACAAGGTAGGCTGATAAGCAGTACTGGATTGACAATCGTATGTATATTTTCAAAGTTTACAAAGTAGGGTGCATTCTATGTCAACTGTACGCCGAAGGTCCATCGGGGCATTTGTTTAGGTACGCCGAAAATATAAAAGCAGTTAGTAAAACAACAAACATTGTTGCGCCAGGCATAGAAAACTGATTATTAGGAAAACTGTGGTGTAGGAGTCGTTAACTATGTACATGGCTTCATGTTTAGCATGCCAACTAACGAAACTTTTTAGTACGCAAACAATTTTTTTATTGGTTTGCACGCTGAACGTCGAATAAAAACCTGGCTGTACGCCGAAAATCTTTGGGCACTTAGGAATGCACCCTGGCGAAGTAGGCTAGAAGAGTGTGGGCCCAAAAAAAGAAACAACTTGGACTCTTCCATGTGTTTCTTATTTGCAGGTTTTTATGGTAATTTAGCATTATTTACAAGCTACATAACAGAATTTGGAAATGCAATGTTTATTATTCTCTTTCTATTTTTGATAAGTAATCATCATAGCATTTTCATTAAGGTGTGCTTGCAACAAATGCAGTGTTGGAAGACTAGTTAGTGCTAGGGAGTATCGTTGTTGCCGAGAGGTCCATGCAGCCTATGGAAAAGTGGTGTTTGATGGACTTTCCGACAGTCTAAGCTGCATTACAGAACACAAAGACTTCAAGGCACTTGTTAACAAAGAAGTGTTAAAAATTGTTGGTCCACTTTTAAAGCAAAAAAATGGAAAGCCGTATAAAAAACATGCTGGTGTATCTGAGAATAAGTAAGTATTTTAAATTTATATGGTTAAAGTTTGTTAAAGCAAGACTTAGCTATTCAAAATCTTTCCATCCTACACATTTTATTTTTAAAGGACAATTCATTATTTCACATTATATAATCAAATTTAAAAAAATTAAATTTTAAAAAATTACCAGAAAAAACTACTCAAAACTAGTTGAAAGACATTTTGCTGTCTGCTTAGTAACAAAGTGCACTTTTTGCAGATATCTGCGTGCAGTTGCTTACAGAAATCTGGTGAGGTGGATCTTTGGATACCTTGGTTGGGACACAGCAAGACCATTAACTGCATGTATATACAATTTTATCAGGGAAAAATATAACACCAACAATTCGAAAACTGGCTACAAAGATTCTGCCCAAAGAGAATAACTCCCTTTGTATCCAGCACTTTTTATGGTTGGTCACACCTATTTTTAAAGAAACCTTTGCTTGATGTTTTTTCAAAATAATTGCTTGAAAACTTGTAAAAAATATATTTTTTGTATGATTATTAACAGGCAATTTCCACTGAATTGTTACAAACAAAAATATATTCTTTATATTTTTTGCTGTATTCTAGAATCTCTTTAAATCCTTTTAACAAAGGAGGTTATTGCCTGGTTTCTTATAAAATTCTGTTAATGTTCTGAATAAAATATATATGTTTATGTATTGAAAATTGATGTAACATTATGCCTATATGTAATAGTTTGTAATCAGTGCTTATATAATATGTTACTCTTAGCATGTTCATTTTCAAAATTTAAATATGTAATCTGAACATGGATTAATATGAATTAGTACTTTATTTCAAAAATTAACATAATATATAATTGTTTGTATATATATATATTTAGACTGAATTATTTGCTGACACACTTTTGCTTAGAGTGCCCAAGCATAGTTTCTCCACATGTTCTACAGTGACCAGTTTTTCTGGTTTTCTTCTTCTCTGTTCCTCTGGCCTTTTTTGCCTCCTGCTCCATCATGGTCTTTTGCTGTTGAGCTAAAAAAGTGATAATACTATTGTCATGATGTTAGTTTTTATATTTTTTATAATTTGCATAACTTTTTCATGAAATTCAAGGGACACCCTTAATCTTTTTGGCAAAACATTAATCAAATTTCCGAATACAGAAGAAGCTTGCATCACTTACCCCAATAGTTATTATATAATTGGGCTTATAAGCAAAGTACAAATAATTAGCAAAGTATTTGATGAAGAAACTATCAAAATAACATTACCTGGTGGATTCAATGTTGTAATCACAAAGGATCTTTTCCTGAACTTCTCCTTTGCTTCTTCCTTCGAAATACGACTCTCGAATTGAGAGTTCAGTGGCTTGGGTGCAATTGAGGTATGTTGTGCCAAGATAGTGGTCATTTCTTCTTTTGAAATTGAAACCAAGATCTGGCGAAGGGTTCTGACGTAGTCTTGAAGTAAATGAAATAAGTGTTATGGTAAATATCAAACAAAATATATAAATTTGTTGTATCTAAAACCTGATTTTTTCAAAGTGCCTTTCATTTTCTCAGTATCTAAGGTCAAAGATTAAACCTTATTAAAACTTACCATATGTAGGTGGAACAGGGACTGGTTTAACAACTTCTTCTCCAAGCTTGTATTTGGGAAACGAAACTCCCAGTATGTCCTGCCCATCATCAGTTTTCATGGTCTCTCTTGACAGATTCTCATTAAAATGACAAATTGCGAGTATGTGTCTAAGCAAATAAAGAGAAAACATTTCAGAAATGGAATGGATAAGAGCTGTGATTGAATGTTTTATATTATTCAGCAATGCAACATTTATTGAAAAAAACATTAGTTTCCATATGTTGTCAGCTTTATGTCTAGAAATCACTTTTACCTGCCTAACAACTCTTAATCACTCAAGTAACAAATAAAATTAGAATGATAGTCCCAAAAATTATCTATTAGCTGCACCATCTCAAATTTTAAAGGTAAATACCTGCATTTGGTTCCAAGCCAATGGTAATGAATCATTTTAGGGTGCCAATGATTGAGTGTGGCATGAAAGGCTTCCAAACAACTTGTTTGAGCATCACTTGAAATACTTCTTATATCATTTAGAAGTCTAGTGTCAAGCAGTATAGGTTTCAATTTGTCAAATGCAGTAGTTCCTGAAATAAGAACTTTAATTCTTGTGCAGAAACTTTTACTTGTATTATTGCATATAAACATATTGTTAAATATTGTATATAAACAATATTTGCTAGTATAAGGATCCAACACTTGAATTCTAACTGACTAAGGGTATCATAAACCTATGTAAATCTGGAGGGAGGGCTGGATCTGTGGCCTTGCTGACATGTAAAAACTATCTAACTACCAAATTAAAGTTATTTCATTGCCAGATAGTCTAAATACTTCTGGTAGGCATTATTTTTTCTCTCACATACCATTTTTAATCCATTTTCTTTTTCGATCGAATGTTTGGTGGATGCAGGTATTGAATAATGGATCCTCGTGAGTGTGTATGTCTT